AAAGGGTCCTTTTGCTGTTCATTGCCCTAGTCTAGTGTTCCGTTTCTCTCTCCAGTACTCGAACAATGTTTTTCCCAACGTAGGTGCGACAAAAATAACCAAATTCGACCCAGACAGAACAACTGGTTCGGGAAAAACCCCCAATTGAATTTACATCCCCCTGGGGTTCCACAACTTTGGTATACATTCAGTCCGAAGGAAAACACGTTGCATGTCACACCGACTATCGCGCGGTTTCTCGCAATAAAATTAAAATGTACTTATAAGTCCCGTCTTATTCGTCCCTGTCGCGCCCTGTCCCTCTGTTGTAGATAACACATTTTTTCGGGATGAAATCAGCAGCAGCTGGACACTTTCAAAACATTCTACTTTCTTGCCCAACTTTTTCCCTACATACCTATTTGGATCGATATAGTTTCGAACGACACGAACGCCCATCCGTCGTTCTTTAGATCAGCGATTGTTGTTTTGCACTCCAAGTATTATACATATAAAAAATCTTGAATCAAAAGAATATTAAAAGATAAAAACTTTTTTAAATCTTAATGTTAAATAAAAAATGAATAAACGGCGATAAACGGTGTGGACTTGGGCGAACCTCGTCTGAGATGCGCTATGCTCTTGTTGATGTGCACCCGCATATAAAGCACAAGTCTCGCGCGCGAATCAATTAAAACGTCAGTGAAGCGTCTTATACGCAACGCGCTCGCCAGAGCCCCGCACACAATGTACCAAAGCTGCGTATATGAAAGCCAGATCGAGCCAGATGCAAAGGCATTAGTATATACATATACCGACAGTATGGAAATAAACGCGCTGCAGCATATTCGTATATAGGGAGTAAACTTTGCACGATCGATATACCTGCGTTCGGGAAGCAACAACGTGGACCGCCCGGAAAAAAAATAATATGTATACGCGTGGTATCCATCCGACGTAGAAGAGGTGGCCAACGCCGCTTGAGCTTTTCTGCAAAATCAATCGGCAAATCGAGTGATTAGCTTCGCTCGTGTGTAGCGGGGTCTTAAATTAGCCGACCGATAGCACTCGTTAAATCTCGAATAATTCGCGCTCGTACAACTTTTGGCAAAGTATCAGAAATACGTTCGCCACTGCGGCAGAACCGTCTGTGTTTTACATACACATTTATACACATATTGTACATTATACGGTAAATGTTGCTCCTCTTCGTGCATGGGTGTATACAATACTATATAAAGTATAATACACGCAACTTTTATAGTATGCATGCATGCACTTGAATGTATACGTGACGTGAGTAACAGTAGATTTTCTTTTTGTTCGTTGTAATTCGTCACACGTGCACCCACGTGTACATCATACGTATATATATACATCTGCCTTACACGCGTGTACTGCACCCACGTATACATATATATGTACATGCTTTGCATGCCAGATCGTGAGACGAAAAATATTTGGGAATGCCTCGATTTACTTATATATATACACACTTATTCTTGATTTTCGTTTTCTTCTTTCTTTCTTTAGAGGATACGTACGCAAGTTTTTTTTATCTCGAAGTTTAAATAAAATTTCGTGTGCCCAACATTAACATTTTTGTTATTGTCCATCCTCGTCCCTGTTTCCTTTACACGACCTTAGGTAATATGCATCATCGCGTCAATGAAAATATTGGAAAAATGCTCATCAAAGCAGCATCCACCCGTCGATCCTTTTATCGCATAATTTTGCGTGTACCCATTTTCTCCGGCAACCTGATGCAGTGCACACACCTATACGTAAAATGATGAAAAACAACGTACCGTTCTCGAGAGCACTAAATGTCCATACAGATCGAAATATCGAAGCAAAATTTTCCAGTCGATTTCACAAACGTCTCCATAAATGCACGTAAGGGGGTATACTTATATATAGATGCACTCGAACATCGTCTCAAGAGGTTTAAAAGGGGAGTGAGAGAGAGAGAGAGTGGGGGGAAGAATCTGTTTTATTATATATGTGTAACACGTGCATCAGCGACCGGCAACATTAACCCCCTATACCCGACGCTTTACTTTGTGCGTGCCGTATCAGCTGATACAAGTGTATGCCTAACGTTGCGCTTTTAGCTGTACAAACGAAACTGAGCAAAGTTAATGGAAAGGGAAAAGGGCGAGCCTCGTCGTCGCCGCCACCGGTTACAACGAATCATCACGTTCGCAGCATATACCTAGACGACGGAGGGAATCGTTTTGTTGTATTGGATATTATTACCTACGTCACAGACGAGGTCACAGAGGGAGGAAAAGACACGTGCAGTTAAATGCCGGGAGTCTAGGTGTTATATGTTATACATGTACGTATATATGATGTCTCATCTCATCGCACCTACAGCATCTTCTTCCTCTCGCGTATATTTTTAGCAGCAGTATTTTTATGCCTGTGTACAAACGATGATGCGTTCGATCGTTGCGCCGTTGGTTGGACCGGAAGCCCCAGACCCTCCTCTCTATACTCGCTTCCGCCCTCCCTCCATTCCGTCTATACATTCGGCAGCGGCTCTGTCTCCTCATCCTCTTTTCTTTTTTTTTTGTCTCTATACCGCGTTGCTTCCACAGATATATAGGGAGAGAGAATCCCCGCTGCGGAGGAGTGCGTATAATATATAATATACCTATGGGTATTGACACTTTTGAGTGTGGCTTACGTGCACGCGTGCGACCTCTGACTCTGTGCGATTAGCCACCTCCAAATTTTTCTCCCCCCCCCCCCCCCGCCCCGAGTCGGAATTCTACAGTGCTCATACAATATCTTTTCGGTGAAAAATCTTGACTCGAGTCACGTCACGATATTCGTACAACGTAGCCATGGTATACCCGCGAATTCCTCGCGCATCAGTTGTTTCCGAAAGATCATCTAGACGTTATGAAAATAATCGACAATAACCAATAACCCTTATAATAACTAGAAACGCCACTTTTCAAGGAAACACCCTCGGAAATACTTAGCGGTGGGTGGTGGGGGAGGGAAGGAAATACTCCTGCCCACCCTACGACCCAAACATATCCGGAACAGCTTCCCCTCAGCAAATTGGTCGTCTCATCTTCCCCCTTTTTTTTTTTTTTTTTTTTTTCTTCCTTCCTTCCCTCGAAGATCTTTCCGTATTTTCCGTGTATACCTAAATTGCCCGCGGTACAGCTCTCGCCTCCACAGCCCCGTATAGCCGACAGAGCGTGCAGGCATCACGCACACCTCCTCTGCGTCGCTCTGCCGATATGCTCTGCCACAGTTCCTCCTCGGCTCTCGGGCGGTGCGAAGGTATACCTCGACAACACACTGCTCGCGCTCCTGACCAGAGTATATATATATGTATACACAAACTCCCTCGTCTTTTACTCGATTAAAAAGTTTATAATAAAAAGTAAAAAAGAAAGTATACATTATACTCCTTCGTGGTGTACCCAATGAATGATGAACAAGAGGGTCGGCGGGGGCTGAGCGAGCCGGTGAAGTAGAAAGAGAGTCAGAGGTGACAGAGGTACAAACAGCCGGCCGTCGCCGTATCGCTCGCTTATCTGTCTCTCTCTCTCTCTCTCTCGATTGTTTAATTGCGCCGAGCGCGTGTGTGTAATTGATATGACATAAGAGCATATATACAAGTATACCGTATGGTATAATATATAGCGTGGCCGAACGAGAGAGAGAGAGACGGTGATGACACGATGACAGTGCAAGGGCCGCGTTGTCCAAGTTATATACCACTGCGGCTCTTTTTGCCGCGTATCTATATATCTCTCGTTCGTTCTGTATATAAAAGTAGTATGTTGCTGCCGCCGTGTCACCATCCTACCGAGACTCCACGCTGATGATGATGCCGCCTCCTTTTGTTTGCCGTCCGTAGTGTCTTGTTCGGTACCACATCTGTGTACGTGTCTATAACACCAGCCACATAAAATATATACATATACACGTATAAGTACACAATACATCAGCCTCACCACGCTGCATGCTGCTATATACGGTTACTCGCGTGACACACTCGCCGCTACTTGTATGACATACATCATTATAATACACCTATCTCATATACATACATACATAAGTGTAACAACCAGTGCGCGAGGCGTCTAATTCCTTTTTTTCTTTTACCCCCAACTCCCCGGTGCAATGCACAAAATACACACCTATACATATTATACGTGCTTCTCGCCATCGTCGTCGAGAATTGCATTATACCTGTACAAAGTATTGTACGGGCGCGAGTGTCAGTTGAATTGTACGCATATATTACAATACATGTTATATACTTATTGCTAAAGTTGCCGAACGTCTCGCGGTAGAATTTGCATAAAGTTATACAAATATACGTATAGTGTGTGTATATATATTGGATTGGGTTTGTTGGACTTGATTAACGAGGGAGCTAGTGGTGTGTGGAAAATTCACCACCGTATTACCTATATGTGTATACGTTTTGTCACGTAAGTATGCAGTTGTGATCCTGTAGCGACTTTTACACTGCCGGATCTCGTTGTCGTGATTGCAGCTATATAGCTTCTTTTGTTACCGCGGGTGATACGAACAGAGCGCGTTGCGTTGCACCACCACCCCCACCCCCCCTTTTTTCTCCGTTTGGTCGAAGGTAATTATGGTTTTTTTTTCCGGTCTGATTCCTCGTCCCTGTCCGCCAAACTATCTAGTGCAGGAAAATTCACTGCAACGCGGATCTTATCGCACTTACGAAATTGACTGGGTAGCCTTTTTAAATATAGTGACGATGCTCACTGTTTGACGTCATTTCAGTAAATTTCGAATCTAAAGCATTTAATTATTTATTTGAGACTTTTTATTGAATCGGATCACTATGAAAATCGCACCAATTAATGCGTCCAACAGATAAAAATGATGTTTTCGTATCTCAAACACTTTGCCGCCAACGTAATAATAATAACGATACATACACCCAATAAGATAAATAGCGCTATCTGTGAGAAAGACAAAGGTTTAATGTCAAGGACTTTTTGTTGCTTCCACAGGAGAGCATCGCGGAAGCGGCTTGGCGGGAAGCGCACGGGCCGGCAGCGAGAGAGGCCGCGTTTCCGTCTTCGGAAGCGGCGAACACGCCGATAGTATGGACGATCCCTCGTCGAGGGAGGACATTTCCGAAATGTAAGCTGACAAACTCTCTCCTTTTGCTTCCTTTTTTTTTTTTTCTCTTTCGAATTTTACTTTATAAAATGAAAAATTTGTACTTAGTCGTGATTAAAAGATGATTTTATTTTTCACGGCGAATTAGGGTGCAGCAGAATATTTCCAGTAAGCCAAAGACGTCAAACATAAACAGGTCCGAAAGTTACAAGGAGCGGATACATCACAAGGTGAGTCTGATGATATGTCTTTATTGATTTCCCAAAGCTTCAAAGACGTTTCCATCAAACGTGTTGGCTTGTCGATTCCAACAGTAACATTCGATCTCGTTTAATTTTGTAAAGTAATAATTTGTTTTTATTTATTGAGACCTGGTTTTTTTTTTTTTTTTTTTTTTTTTTTTTTTTTTTTTTTTTTTTTTCATCGACTCGTAAGTATCCCGGAAATTTCCAAGTATTTCGAATATCGAAGCAGAGGCTAGTGGAATAGTCGAACCAAAGGTGGAATCAAGAACTAAAGTGATAATTTTTTTTTATTCTTTCAGCGACAAGTGCGCGAAAAACGAAAGACCAGCGATCCAAATCTCTCGAAAACAAAGTGAGTAAACTTTTTACCCCTCGATACCTATTTCATTTTTTTAAATATACCGTTACGTGTCATGATATGGTACAAAGTTTTGATAATATAAAAAAAAAAATTAACAATCCCGTGGGATTTGTCCGCCTGCAAGCTCCGCACTCTCCACGCGCAAAAAGTTTATCTGCAGGCATCGGGGCAGCGAATCCCTCGACGGCAAATAAATGTCGAACGAGCCGAGTTACTCCAGTATATAGGTACATTGGAAAACTTTACACCCCTCTCCGAGGAGAAGGCAAAATAGCTCTCTCTGCTCTGAAAATCCCTCCTTTACTTTTTCGTCGTAGACTATATATATACATACGTGTCTGTCGGCCCCGTTGTAGTGTACCGGGCGCAGCTATATCCATGCGACGACACCCCAGCTGTCGATTGTTATTTTGTAGGGTAAACGTTGGGGGGAGACGCGAGGAGCCGGGTGACACGCGCTCCTCCTTTTCTTCTTTGCCGTCTCCGTTACAAAATGAAGCAACCGAGAGCGCGTTCACGGTCGGAAAACTCGGCCAGCTTATTTATCAAGCGAGCAGCCGAGCCGAGAGACGCTCGTGTACGCCTGTAATGTGCTTTCCGGAGCTTTCGCTCGTCTCTTCTTCTTGTCCTTTACTATTTACAGTCCACGAGCCTTGTTTTTTTTTCTCTCTCTCTCTTCTCACCGCTGGTTGTCTGTAGTTTTTTTTTTTTTTTTTTTTTATCTTGGCAGGCGCTCGAGGTTGTCGCTCTTTCGAGAGCTTTTTTTTTTTTTTAAAAAGCCTTACTCGGGCGCACCGTTGTGTATAAATTTACGAGGACGTCGAAGCGTGGAGTTTTTTTTTTTTTTTTCCTAACGCCGCGGATCGTTAATTTTTCAACGGAGAAGATCGGTATTTTTTACGCGCGATCGCTAGATCGGTGGTTTGTTGTAGTACGCGAAAACAATGTATTTATTGCAATGAACGCGTATAAGCGCTCGGCTATTCATAGCACAGAGCAAGTAAACCAAATTCACGAATTTTGTCTGTCGACAGTTTGGTTATTGCAATTACGAGAGACATTTGGTACAGATGTGGTGTATAAAATCTACGAGAGTGACTCGATATGAATTTCGATGGAGCAGCAGGCAATCATTTGCACTTGAAATTGGAATTTTTCATGCATAAAGCTCGAGACGTTATTGAACCCCTGAAACTTGCTTATACACCTTCGGGAAAACTTTCTGCCGCTCGGCTCTATTTATCCTCTTCGGCTTTTTCTACTTCTTTTTCTCCTCCTCCACGTATACGTATTCCTAGCTCAGACCCCTATATTATCCCCTCGAGAACCTTTTCCCTTACTCCCCTTCCCCCCATTTTTTCTCCGTCACATGGCTACGGTTGCTTTCCCTCCGAAATTTTATCTTCTCCATCACGAGTGCCCTCCGTTTCTCCTCCAATCCTGGCCCTTTCCTTTTTCATTATAACTTTTACATTGTTGTCCCGGCTATCTCGTTATATTTTCTCAATACCTAGCCAAATAAAGCAAAGTTCGTACAAAAATTATTGTAACATACATTTCAAAAGTGGCAATCACCAAAAGAGCAACCGATAAAAAAATGCCCTGCAATTGGTCTGTGCGCTCCACAATCTATACCAACAAAATGAAGCTGTCGGTGAAGAAAGTCCCCAAAGAGTTGTCACCCGTGGGAAATTAACAAAATTTTCCATACGCATGTGTCCGGAAAAAAAAGGAGAAACTCCTAAAGGACCAACGTATAAATCTCCATTCGTCTCAGGAGGCCCGTGCAAGCCAGGCGTCTTCAAAAAAAAAAAAAAAAAAGCTCGCGCTCGAACGCGCCCAACGTCTTAATTCACAGCTCCGAGCCCCTCGGCCAAGGAGCTTCTTCTATCTTTGACTCCGCTGCTTCGACATTGGATCAGCTGTCCCCCTGCTCGTCGCGATATTATATAGCGGGTGCTCGCACACCCTCGCCTCGCGTGTATACGTACGCGTTGAGATATACATTCGAACCACCTCCGCACCTTTGGTTGATCGAAAAAGAGCGCGCGGCGCAGACTCGAAAAGCCGCGCACACAGCGTACCTGTGACATGTCTGATGCTCGCCTGGACTTACTACTCGGTCAGTCGGACGCTCGTCGTCGCCAACGACAACCTCCCTCCCCCTCTGCTCGGGTCGCGACGGAGCAGTGTCTGATCTGTTGTCGTTGTCGTCGTGTTGTTTCTTGGGGGAGGTAGTTTTTACAACTTTCCTGAACTCGTCGAATCCCGATGGTGCCCTTCTATCGCGACGCGAGTTACCAACGCTCGAGTGTCTAGTGCGGGGAACAAAAAGCTCGCGAGTGTCTTATACAAAGTACGCAATTGTTTTCCCCCGACTTCTGAGGGGAAACGAAAAGAAGAAGAAAAACCGTTCGCTGCTGCTGTCGCGTTATCATAGATACACCTGTGGTACAATATCATTATTATCACTGCGTTGTTTTTTCATTCTCGGCCAGCTCTTCCTTTTTTCTTTTTCGGGTCCCTTGTCCGTTGCTTCTCTCGGCGCACCTCCTGTCCTTTTACCACTGCCGTTTGCGTCACGCGCGCGGGCGTCTATAATTACAATTAGCAATTGCCCTTCCACCACCACCTTGGCATCTGCTTGAAAATCCCGCGGTTGTAACCGACTTGACTTGCCTATTTGTGTATACGCTGGTGCGGTGTACTGTTAACGTGGCGAACCTCGGGGATGATTTGAAAAATCGACGAGCCCGCTTGGTTCGATGTATATACATACCTATACGGGTCGTCTGAAATATTAAAAATCGTGAATCAGAGCCGAGATTTTGTCGGGATCGGCAATGAGTGCTTCTTTCGAGGATTTGGCACTTTGTGCCTTTCGACTAAATTTAAAATAATCTCCGATCGCTGAGTCGCGCCGCGCTTTTCGTTATTACATAGAGGTATATATATACGTATGTACATCGAGTTACCGAGCACGCGGGCTACCGATTTTTCAATATATCACACACGCGTGTTATTAATAGTGCGATATCTGCAGCTGTTTGGCTGTTGAATTTTCAGGTACGGGTAATATTTATGCGCCACGGTTTGGGGAAAATTCATTTTCGCAGTTGGATCATAAAGGGAGGCGATCGCTCGATCGGTAAACTTGAAGCTTTTACATTTTTTTTGGCTTCATCGCGGTTTAATATTCATCGAGTAAAAAAGTGACAAAGAATCGCATTTTCAACGAACAGGAGGAGAGAGAGGGAAAAAAAAATTTCGTATGCTCCACCAGCGTGCAAAGTACAAAGTTCGAGCTTGCAGTGCTTAGCGCGTCCCTGCTCAATCGTAAAAGAAAAAAAAAAAAAAAAAAGTCGGGGGGTCCACCCATAAATCCTCGCCGCAGACAGGCTTAAAATCGAAATCAGCCCTTTTTTTCCAGCGCGAGATCGGCACTCCGATCCATGTGTGCGGGTTCAAGGAAAGTTATGAGCGCACGTAGCTTTATTTTTATGTACATTACCAGAGGGAAAGTAAGTAGACCGTTAATCGGTAGGTGTAAAAAAATATTTGTAAACTGTGCCTCTAAAAAAGTTTCCTTGACCTCCCCACAGTCTGCGTTGTATTGCCAACGGCAGGTCCTTTGTGTGTACACCTTATACGATTTGTCGAATCGTCGGGACGAACAAACACGTACACTGCAAAGCGAAGTGGGGGAAAAAAAGTGTGTGTGGTAGACAAAGAGTGGGTGTGTGGGTGTGCAAAAAAAAGTATACAGTATAGGGGATAGATCGTGGGCTGCGTAAAACGAAAGGTGGAATAAAAAAAGGGTAGGCGTACATGGAAGCGAGCGAAAGAAAGAAAAAGAAAGCTAGGTGGTGTGCCTTCCTCCTCTTCCTTGGGGAATCTATTGATCGCCGATGAAGTCTCTCTCTCTCTCTCTCTTTTTTTCCAACCCGTGGCCTTGAATCCATCCGCGGCAAAACACAGGCCGCGCAGTGGTTTGACGTTTATTTACCCCTCCCCCCACCCTTTCTCCCGCGATTCGTTACCACTGATGTTTCTTTGGTCAGTGTTTTTTTATTCCCTCTCCCCCGTTCAAATCGGTCAGCCTTTTTTTCGCGTCTGCACCGGAGGGTGCAGTTTATCACTTTTTTTTTGTTTGATCCTCGGCGGCCGAAATATCATCCAATCTTTTCGGAATTAACGGAAAAAATAAAAAAAGCTGTATTACTTAAACATAATGTTGAGGGATACAAGGTGTTGATAAATTTTTCGCGTGTACTTTTGTATTAATCTACACCTGTGTAGTATGTGTAAGGTATGTGACCATCGATCGCGCAGCAGGTTCATTTTTATCAGTACCGATGCACGAGTGCCGGGTGAAATTTTCCCGATAAAAGAGAGCTTCGCGGCCTCTTAATCGCCCCTTCATCTCCACGCGCCTCGATGTTATTCTCTTTGGCGTATATCGTCACACGTGTCGCTCAATAGAGGGATTTATTTTATTTTATTTTTTTAAAGGACACATTTTCCAACCAACAACAAAGTGTAATAACATTCAAAGCCCACACTTGTCCACCGAAAAAGTGAATTACTATTTTATTTTTCCCAGTGCGGCAAATGAGCGCTCTCGTGGCTCACTTGGGAATAAAGTTTTCTCGTTTGTGCAGTTGGGTTATCGAATCGTGCTTTCGCTTTTCTGCTTTTCCCGCCGAGGGAACGAGAGACGAGAGGACAAACGAGCGTCCGTATATACGGCTCTTACCCTCTGGGGAATCCCACGGAAATTACAATACAATTTTTCCTTTCGACGAAACCGCGTGCAAGTTTACGCACCTCCTGCATGTACGCACTACCTGAGCGATTGTGCCCGAAAAATTACAAAGTTCTCTCTCTCTCCTGGGGTATGAAAAACAACTTCTTTCTAGGTATAAAAGAAAAATAAATCTGACAAAGTTTAACAGCTCGAGAGTATAAATGAATGTCCTATCGAACTTTTTAAATTAAATTTCACGCGATTTTATGAGGTGTGCTACCATCGTCAGACAAATATTTTTTTTCCCCCGAGTAAACTGCTCTATACTGCTCAATCGGTCTCGAGGGAACTTTTGCTTCTACGTGAAATCTTTACGACTGCACTGTACCAACGCTACTTTCCAAAATTTTCATCGTATAATCGATATACGTGTTCTCGAACGCAAAATCATAGATCCGCGACAACCTGAAAACTGAACAAAAAATAAAAGAAGCCAATTTTGCGGCTCCGCGGGGTTTCTATTACACGCCACCCAAATGAGATTGACTCGAATTCTATATGTATTATGTATCGAGAGAGAGAGAGCAGAGCTTTTTGTCCGTGAAATCGAATGAGCCTCAACGACTCGTCTCATCCCCGGGGCATTTGTTGCACTCGAGCGGATCGTTACGTGCTTTACGTCAGTCTCCACTTCCCGCGGCAGAAAAGAACACCCGCACGACACGTAAATATCGATCGTCCATATCGATACACGTGTGTAACATACAATATGTTTCTATTCGCGTCGTTCGCTCCTATATACGTATATGTGGGGGGAGGGTGGGAAAAATACCGCGGAACAGAGAAATAAGAAGGCACGAGCAAACAAGTAAAAGACAAAATATCAGACCGACCTCGTTACCGCGTTTACGACATACCTATACCTATATACTGCACCGCTGATTATGCGGTGGGTTTGATTTGCACGTATAGTTTATTTTGCGGACATAATCTATATGCAAATTGAATGTGTCCATATATATTGCTCATGGACACGTGTACGTAGGGGTTGATCACATAAGGGGTGGGGGGGGGTCTTGGGGTTGTAAAGTTACGCGATGTGTGCCGGATCGACGGAAAGAATTTTACGATCCAAGAGGGAAAAGTTTCGTCATCTATATGCCGTTTGATTGTAAAAGCTCTGACCTCCTTTTTTTCTTTTCTCCTTTCCCCCGCAACGCATGAAAAATTAAATTGTAATTCCATGATGAGGTTTTTTTTTTTTCCTTTAATTGAATCATCTAGTACAAACATCGGTATTTCCAATTGATTTTGCCTTGTCATTTATACGTTTCGCGCTCAATGAAAATATATTGAATTAATTTAACATATGTGTATACGTAGTCACAGCGAGTGACGCGCTTACGTTGCACCCACGAGAATCTTTATCGGTTCGTGCATATACACGAGCAGATGCGCAAAAAAAAAACATCGCTCGGGGTACGGTATTGTGAATTAATCATTAAATTTGAATCTCGTTTGAATTTTCGAAATTTTCAATCAACTGAATGATAAGTCCAGCCACGGGATCGGATAAAAAGCTGTGTCGATGCAACGCAAAGACACCCACGACACACTGGTCGGCGATTTATACTCGCCTGCTCGCTCGCCTGTATACGACCCTATAATGACGATGAGCTTTGGGAAGGGGGGAGGGAACCACTATTGTTATTTATAATTGTAAACGTAGCACTTATGCTGAATTAAAAAATCAAAGCATTAAATGCACCACACTGATATAGATAACCAAATAGTGATGCACGCAGAGGCGGAAGGGTGATGCGGAAAAAAAGTTCGATCTAAAGATTGAGCGGCCCTCGCCGATGTAAAAGCAATAAAATGCTGCAGCTTTTCAACTAATAATAATAATAATAATAATAATAATAATAATAATAATAATAATAATAATAATAATAATAATAATAATAATAATAATAATAAAAGAAGAAATAAAGAAAGAGCTTCACTCTATTGCACCTACAGACAAGGAAGAGGGTGTATCAAACGCGAGGACAGCTCCATGTGTCTCTACTCACACACAAGAGATATTGCGCGTGCAAACGGGGAAAAGTTATAGATTTAACTCGCTCGTGTGATAGCGTAAGCGGTGTGGAAAAATAAGGGAGAAAGGTAAAGGAGCCAGTTATTACAAGAGAGCGCGAGAACTTATTGTGTGTGTGTGTGGGGGGGTAGGCTTGATTAGAGTGTCGTTCGAAGGAGCGGCTCCGTACGTATATGTACTTACACATACCTGTATATCCACTTGGGGTGGTAATATGTTTCTTCCTCGGTGTATATATACAGGGCTCGGCCCCTTTCGTTTCCCTATCATCGCTCCCCCTCCGACTGACTTGTACATGGATGATATTACCCATATATATATATAGACTCCTGGGAGGCCTACGTTTACGAATGGGATTATAGATGTACCCACGCATATAGGTAAAAGTACCTTTTTTCCGCCGTTCTCTCGCGAGATCGTTATAACTTTCTACTAGATTTTACAAATTTTTCTTTTTATTTGCGTCCCTCCCGTACCTAACATCCAAATGATGCTCGGCCGATCCTTTCTTTCCTCCTTTGGAAAATCAATCGAATATTATACATTTGTTATGTCACAAAAACAAATGGTCAATGGTGTAAAAATAGGGATGATATAAAACGTGGCAGTAGCGAGCGGTTTTTTTGCAGTGGTACCAAACAAAAAATCCACCCTCCAAGTGGTAGTGAAAAATAAAAAATAAAAAAACAAAAATAAAATAAAGTTAATAACGCAAAAAGAGAGTGGAAGAAGAGAAAACAAAAAAAAAAATTGTGGCGCGGTCAAGGAAGATGCGTCAGCAGGGGCGCTCGAGGACGGGCTCGACGGACCCCGAGCAACAGCAGAAGCAGCAGAGCACAACGGGCCCAGGCATAGCTAGCAAGGCGAGCTCGAGCGTCGACGAGGTTTACGCCAGTGGCAATCTGCAGCTGCCCGAACGTCGAACGCGCTCCGAGAGGTAACGCAAAGTACCAAGTACGAACACAAAGAATTGAAAAAAAATTCATCAACGGTACATGGTCTCGACAACTATGTGTACAACCCCTTTGTTGTCGCGACAGCTAAATCACATTGAGTCGAATTCATCATATCGTCGTACGGTGTATATAAACGCTCGTTTCATCCCTAGTACACCTGATAGCTAGTCCTGCCGATTGTTTTCTCCTCGTGCCGATTGTTTTTTCGAGAATACATGTACAGTGTAACAGCGACCGACGAAATTTCATGTCCGCACAGACAAATGGAAAATAAAAAAAAAATAAAAAATTTACCCTTAGTTTTGGGAATCCATGAATAAATAACCTTTACCATTGGCAAATCCATTTATTCGCCCGCCCATAAATTCACAACGAAACATACCCAAGCGTGCAGTATATGTGTAGGTAGGTTTACCAATAGGGGAGAAAACAAGAGGGAGATCGAGCTTGGATGGTCTGGGGAAGATAGCGCGCCCAGATTAATGGGAGGGTTCGTGTGATAGGTATACCCAGACACTTCTCCTAATACTACTAGTGGACGCGACTTGGCTTTTCCCCGTTTACCTGTGAGTTGGGTTTCCAAGCTACGATGATTATCGCTAATTTATATCGCTGGGGATGACTCCGTTGTTTTGCGATGTGAAGTATTCTTCTTCGGTCGTACCCTTGGTCTGGCTAACATGTTACATACATGGGATATTGCGGGATTTGCGTGTCATCCATACATACATGTGGCTGTTACTATTTACGACCTTTGACGCACCCGTGACTAATTTAGTGGTCGATTGATTAGGTTCATATTTAATTGAACAATTTTCGAAATATCCTCTGTACGTATGATTAATTGAAAAGTTCGCGTTCGCACCTATTACGTGGAAACAGCTCGATCTAATATGTCTCACTCCGTAGTGAACTACAAGTTCTTAATAGTGGAAATTTTCAGTAGGAAAAAAACAAATACTTTTCGTACTGCATAATTTATATTCGTTGCAGTTGAAAGAATTTGATAAATTTGTTTTTACTTTACCGTAAAATATTGTACATTTAACAAAAGCCTAGCCTTTTTTTCTGGTTTTTTATATTATTTGCTGTATTTCATGAACCATTCAGTATTATATGTAGCATGTAAAGGCCATGTCAAGACACGTAACGGGTACAAGTAATTAAGTGATGTATATACAACAACAAAAAAAAAAAAATTTATTTGTAAAAACAAGTACTAAAACGAAAAATTTTTTTCCTCTTTTTTTTCCTCCGTGTGTGCGTACATGTGCATGTATACATATGATGCCCGTTTATGTATACGCATCGGTGTAGGTACATATATAACTTCTTTTTCAACAGCGACTGCGACGCGAATAGCAGTGCCGGTGGCGGCGGCGGAGGCGGCGGAGCCTTCCCGGGCAACTCGGCGGGCAGTTCTTCCAACAGCAGCCTGTCGACGCGCAGCCTCGACAGCCCGAGCACGAGCCTCGAACAGGTTCACTCGTCCGGGAGCGCGACAGCTGCCGCGGCGAGCGCCGCCGCCTCCTGGGACAGCGACGTCGATGTCGAGCCCGATCCCCCGGATTGGACCCAGGGCGTGTCCGAGGAAGTCCTTGCCAGTCTCGGCAACGCCGAGAAAAAGAGGCAAGAGGTCATCAATGGTCAGTACTTGTGTTGTATTACATCTGTAATGATATTCATGCGCACCGAGTAGGTGTGGTACTTACATATACCCGTAATGATTCGTTGCAGAACTGTTTCACACGGAACGGTCGCATGTACGGGCGCTCAAGGTCCTGTCGCAAGTCTTCCACAAGCCGATGAAGAACGAGGCCGTCCTGGCCCTCGATCAGATAGACCTACTCTTCTCGAACCTCGATGAGATGGTCCAGATCCATTCGCAGTTCAACCAGGCGATGAAACGCAAGCGCAAGGAGAGCCCGCTCGTCGCCGACGTGGGCGACCTTTTGCTCGAAATGTTCGACAACGAGCCGGGTGAGAGGTTCGAGCTCGCGGCTTCGAGGTACTGCGCCAAGCAGCAGGTCGCCCTGCGCGCACTGCGCGAGCAACGTCGCAAGGATCCCAAGCTCAATGGCTTTCTGAACGAGGTCGAGGCGAATCCCATGTGTCGGCGGCTGCAGCTCAAGGACCACTTGCTCACGGGCATGATCCGGCTGACCAAGTACCCGCTGCTCTTCGAGAACCTTCACAAGTACACGCCCGTGTCCAACGAGCGCGAGCGCAAGGCTGTGCAGCGTAGCCTCGAGCGTAGCCGCGAGATCTTACAGCGGGTTAATCAGGCGGTGCGCGAGGCCGAGGATTATCACAGGCTCGTCGAAATGAAGCGCCTCATCGATCGCGCGGCTTTCGACAAGGTCGACCATCAAGACTCCGTCAAGGAGTTTGCCGATTTCGACATTACCAAGCACCGGCTCATCTACGAGGGTCCATTGCAGTGGCGCGTCGTCAAGGCCAAGCCCGTTGATCTCCACGTCGTTCTACTCGACGATTATATCATTCTGCTGCACCGACAGGACGAAAAGTACGTCCTTAAGTTTTTTAACCAGATGAACTCACTGCTCAGTCCCATTGTCAGGGTCTCGACGGTCCTCGTGCGTCACAACGCCGTCGACAAGAGCTCCCTCTATCTCGTCAACACGGCCCAAAAGGGCGCACAAATCTACGATCTCGTTGCCTCGTCGTACGAGGAGCGTCAGCTCTGGTGCAAACACATCTCCGAGACGGCCGAGGTGCACAAGGCCCGCGACCGCGAGGCCAGGCGCCTCATACCTCCGAGCTCCTCGTCGGGCGATCTGAGCGAAGTCAATGAGGACCAGCAACTCCTCCCTGAGCCCGTACCGATCGCCCAACCTGTCAGTCAGCAGCAGCAACAACACCAACAGGTGCAGCAAAACAGCAATGAGGTGTCTCGCCCGAATGACAAACCAGAGCAACAGGACAAGGAAACGCCAACGACAGCTGCCGCGCAGCAACCACAAACAGAATTAACAGACTCAGCGGCAGTCGCCTATAACGACAGCAGCTGCAGCAACAGCAGCGTTGAACACGACGATGAAGAAAGAGCTGCAGCGGCAGCGGCTACGACGACGACGAATGCGGTGGGCGCAGCGGCGAAGCCTGTGTCCCCCGTCGAAGATGCCGGGACTTCCGGCAAGAAGCCCGAGCACAACGGAGCACGGGCAACGAGCGCTGCTCCCATTGTAGGCACTACGAGCACGGGCGAGCCCCTGATGATGGTCACCTGCACGCAATGCTCGCTCATTGATCCCGTTGAAGTTTGCGTGGAGGAGAGGCCCGTTCACATTGCCGAACCCGTTTTTACACCGATCGGTGAGTAAATTATTAAGAAATCTCGGCGCTGTTGCTCTTTTTTCCCCACGAACCCGTAAGTCATTTATTTCGTTCTTCTGTTATAGAATTACTTCGGCGTAAGGACGATGTCATCAAACAAGCCCTACTTGAAAAACAGTCCATTGTCGAAAACATTCTCAATATTTCAAAACCAGACGCCGAGAGCGCGCCCGAAATAACGCCCTCCAGTCTTCCAGTCCTTGAAAAGGAACCCGTTGAACTCATACTCTCAGCAATCGGTCAAAGTAAGTTTCTTTGAAAAATGATGCGACTACATTGGTCAACTTATTTTTCCCATTTACTCGGATAATGCAGTCATTCAAATTATTTACAGCTAATCAATTGATCGAGCTGCTCAATTCAGCTCTAACGGTAAGCGAGACGGAGACGGTGCTCGCTACGCAGAGCGCAAGCCCAGCCACCGTCGGTTGTGAGGCCACAGGGTGTCCAGCACCGCGAACTCATCCCCACAGACTAGAACCCACGGTTCCCGTTGCAACGCTACAACCGATTTGTAATACCTTGACGTCACAGTTATCGCAATTGCTCGTCAGTATTAACATTACTTGCGGATACTTGTACGGTAATGACTGAATTGAGACTGATGATTATTTTTATTTACAGAAAATTGTCAAAGAAAGAGACGAGGAAAGAGAAAGATTGCGCAAGGAGTTTCGGCGGAGCCGAGAACGTTTGCATGCGATTGACGCCAACGTTCAACGTCGAGAGACCACAGAGGTTAATTTTTCACTGCCAGAGAATGCAGTAAAAAATGAACAAAGTAAGTTGACTCGTCGATAAATACCTTTAAATAAAAATAAATTCGATTGTCTTTAAAAATACTAATTACTTTGAAATTGTTTGCAGTAGCAACTTGTGAATCAAGCCAGGACGCATCCAACGATGGAGCGGATAAAGAAGTATGTCGAATCACTAATGATACGTTCAATTTCGTAATTAAAAAAATATATATATATATTCATGACATGTGCCTTTGTGTTGTATGTATCTTTAGATTTTCGTTGATGCGCAAAGCGATCTAGAGGCACCGCCGGCGGCGACTACAGTATCAGCAACAAATGAAGTTAAGGTCTCGTCGGATAACGAGGTCATGGGAGACAGCGTAGGTTGACGTGTCCGGGCTTTTTCCCTGAATCGCAGACCCGATGCATTTGTTAATGCGTTTCCACGATTCTTCGCCCAGTATCAAAAGTGCGCGCAAAGCATGAGACGGACGAAGAATAAAAATTAAGAGAAATAAATTAAAAATAAACACACAGACATACATATGCTCTGACAAAAAATAAATAAACACACAGGTGGGGTAGAGTAAGAATTTTAGACTATCTTTTTATTTACCGAAACTTAGCTTGCTAATGATTTCGTGCAAGGAAAAAACAAAAACAAAATTTTGTGGAACATAATGCATTGCCGTAAAAAAAAATAAAAAAAAAATAAAAAAAAATCAATTTTTCATATGTAACCATTTTTTGTACGTGACTGCGGAGTTAGTGAGCTTTTGCAATTTGACATGGCGAAGACACATTTTAGAATACAGAATTTATACAAAGTGCCTTTTTTTTCTACACAATTTTATACTGAGTATAATACACATTCGTATGAAGAATGAGGTTTGATAAGAAGAATTATACATGTACCAGAGAAGCCTTACGACTTTCTCAGGAAAAAATGTTAGGATGTAGAATTTTAAATTTTCAAATACATTCATACTAACGAATCTTTGATTCGTGTTTTAGATATTAAAATTTATATACCACCTGAATCATTAAGATTTTTTTATGTAAAATATATACAACATACAACTGCATTAGTACTTGCTTATAATGATCTTCAGTAACGAACATAATTGAATTCAAGACTTGAATGCATTAAGATAGACTGTATTTATGTTGAAAAAAATCAAACATTAGTTAGTTCCTTATTGAACGATTAATAAATTTTTGCTATTCTCTTGTTAAAGGTGCTTTTTATGACCTTGGATTATTAAATCTACTAAGCTTGTTACATTTTTTGTTGACCTTATTAAAAAATCTAAAGCCAAATTGTCTTGCATATTCATCATAAATATTTATACATAAGAGAATCTCGATTTTCGAAATATAAGCACGAAATCATTAGACGAGTGGTAAATTACACACAATTAACACAATATTCCATATATCATTGAAGCAAATGAAATAACTATGCAAACAAATATTCTGAACGTATTTATGCATAAAATATAAGCGATGAAAATTTATAAATTAAAAAAAAATGTAGTACATGTATAAAGAATATTTAATGACGTAGTGTTATAGTGGCGATTATTACTATTATTACTAGTTATATATGGTTATTACTATTACTTGTATTATTATCATTATTATCAACGAGGTATTACCATTTATCTGGATTAAAAGCTCTCATTGAATGGAAATGAACTTTGACAGTGTATTTATGTACATTTAAAAAATCATTGTATGTTTTGATACATTTTTTTTTTCAGTTTTGTAATTTACATTGAGTTTTTACAATTAAAAGTATATTAATATACCTTTGAAACATAAAACAGACTAAACATTTTATGTACCATATACAATCATACTCTTGAATAAATCCAGATCTTCACAGATAATACATGAGTTTTCATAATTTGTTCACCACACATCCCTCCTAATTGTTATATCAGTTACTTTCAGAATGTTTAATAACAATAATTTTAATCGAATTAATTAGTAACCAGTAAATTTGATGGTGTCAGCAGAAATCATTCTAGGAAAAACATCCAATAATCAGAAGAATAAGATAATTATTTTTTCACAAATTTGTCGATCATTCCATTAAACTGGAAACTAATACGTCATGCAAATAGCAGGATATCTGTTTTCACTGAATTCTTTATTTTTATTTGCCTTATAATACTATTTAAAAAAAAAATAAAAATTTAATGTTGCAATTACTTTTTTATAATGACATCTGGTGTATCGACAATCAGAAAAACAAACTATTTTTAGTTTGCTGTTTGACTGTTTGAACTCACTTAGTTTTTTTTTAAATCGAAAATTATCTCAAAAATCTGTTCAAGATAAGAGAGAATAGATAGATCATGGCCTTGACCTTATAAAAAAAATGTAAATACTGCACTCACACACTTATTGTGTGTACACATGTTGAGAGATTTTTCATAACCTAAGACCTTAAATTAAAATTTAATCATGATAGAAGTTCTTTCATCAAATGTACCAGTTAGTAGTAGCAAATTAGACAGCAAACATGTTGAAATCCACGACAAAAAGTCTCACAGAAGGAAGAATTATTCTAGCCAGCAGTTCGCCCAGGAGACGAGAAATATTGCAAAATTTGGTTGGTATGCAGAGAGAAGAACACTTTGCCTGATAAGTATATATTTGTAATATTAGAAAATTTGATCATTTACACAGGGAATCAAAGTCGAAATTATTCCGTCAACTTTTGATGAAAACTTGAATAGGAGTAATTATAAGTGTCATGGGGATTACGTTGTTGATCTGGCAACACACAAAGTCCAAGAAGTGTATGATAAATTGAAAGAAATCAATGATTCTAAGACGACACTGATTGTTGGAGCTGATACGATTGTTACCCAAGGAGATTTAATTTATGGAAAACCTAAAGATAAAAACGACGCGATCGAGATGCTGTCAAGGTACATGAAACTTTTTTCTGTTACTCCTAGACAACAATAATAGTAACTATATTTATTTTTCCAGTTTCAATGGAAAAAAGCTTATAGTTTTTACTGGTGTCTGTTTGAAAACACCAAAGAAAGAAGTAAAATTTTGGGATTCCACGGAAGTTAAATTTGGAAATATATCTGAAGATCAAATTCGAGCTTACGTTGATACTGAAGAGCCACTGTAAGTATTTCTGATGAAATTATGGAACTATTGAGTGTAAATGTATTGAGCTTCTATAACTTTCTTTTAGGGACAAAGCTGGAGGTTTTGGAGTACAAGGGGTAGGTGGATGCTTAGTGGAAAAAATAAATGGAGACTTTTATACAGTTGTGGGGTTGCCACTTTATTCCACAATAAAACATTTGAACGAATTATTTGCTGAAGCATGATACTGTGAATAAGGAATAAACGAAATGTTGGATATAATCCTGCAAGAGTACAAATAGTCATTTGTAAATATTACATGGTTAATAATGTGTTACATAAAACATACACAGACTACATAATATTGTTATTTACGTCTATTGAAATTAGTCACGCAATAAGCATTTAAGTAAATTACGTTTTTTGTTCTAGAAGTAAAATTAAAAGCTTTGGTAAAACAATACTTGATATTTTTATTTAAAAAAAAAAAATCCGACCTAAAAGTATATAAATATATATCTTCCAACTGATTATTCAAAAATAAATATATATAATTTTATGTATATGAAAATACTGTTAGAAGTTGATGACTCTCATTTTTTTGTTTTTCTCCTAAATAATAAACTAGTTTCTTTCATTACATTTTTTTTTTTAAATATTAAACTAGATTCTTTAGATTTTAATGATAAAATCGAAATTTACTTTGCTAATTAAAGCTGCTTATCTTTTGAATTGTACTTTAACCATTCTTGAAAATACTTTTCAAGGTATGTACACGGCCGGCAAGCATCTGGCCTCTCGATTATTATAGTACAGGATTTGTGTCTCCATCGATTGCTGTAGTAATCCTTGTATGCAAATTTCATCAGCTCCAAGTCTTCGATATCTTTAACCGAAGGACCACCTTTACAAACCATCATATTTAAAATTTCGACAAAAGAATCCTCAAAGTCCTCTTTTGTATTGTCTTTGTCCAATTTTTTCTCAACAACCAGCTTATCTAACACAAAAGCCTTGAATGTTAGACTTTCTGTCAATATGACCTGCAAACAAAGAGCCGGATTTACCATTTGTAAGTATTAACAAATTACAGATTTGTGGCCATTACTCACCTTCTTTTTATATGAGGGTGGCAAAGACATGTCAAGTAGCGTCATTTCTGACAGGACAATAGCTCTATTAGGAGGTGGAACTCTGTGGATCCCCCACGAGCGATTAAACAGTGTCAAATCGTAGGGTCCATCATAGAACAACTCAAAAAATAGATTTGCTTGAAGAGGAGGTGGGGGAGGCAATATTGTTGTTTCAATGATTTGCAAATTTTTAGTTTTCCCATGACATTCTTTTTTTGCTGGTGGCGTATCTTCTGTATTATTACTGTTTTCTTTTTCTGAAAAAGAAAAAAAAAAAAAAAAAAATTAAATACTAATATAAAAATTTTTTTAAGAAACTAGTGTTTACACAACGAAATGCGTTTCATGAACGGAATATCCAAGACAAATATACTGTAGCTAGTATAAATAGCAACACACTTGGCATGGATACTGTTTATATTGATCCGATAGGGCATACATCACAAGAGCAGCGTACAGTCCCATTAATTAATTAAGAAATTGTCAATCATCCCGTAAAATGCTCATGCAAAGGCGTAAAATTGTTTTCAACTGGTTCAAAATCTGATGGTATTCAAAAGAAAGAGAAAAAACAGCAAGACAACAACTGAAGAATGCACCAATCCAAGTAGGGCAAGCAACATCTAAGAAGCTTCAAGATGTATCCACCTACTTTGAGGTTCAGGCTCCGACGCCTCCTGGGGCTCACTTTTGACCTGGGGTTTATTCTCCATCCTTAGATCCACTGTAGTTTCAAGAAACGCATCGAGCGCCAAATCGCGACCACCTGTTTCTTTTATTGCGTTCGGACTTTTTTTTTTTTTTTTTTTTCTCGTCACGGAAAAAAATCAAGCGTCTCTTGGCTAACTGCGCGTCGCACTATGCAAGGCGTCGGTCCTCTTATCACCAAAGGACCTTGGGTTGCGCTGTCATGCCGATTTTCGGGTGATTTTTCGGATTTCCCGATTCGCGGTTTAGCGATGCGCGCAGCACACGCGGTTTTCGAAGGTTGAAAAAAAAACGCGCGCCGCGCCTCGACGATAATAAAAACAAACCCAACCTTATCCGGAAAGCTCCTCTAACCTGACCTCTATGTTGCATTTGCTGCAAGCAGTGCAAGCTGCCAAGCTCCCTCGCTCCCTGATGTGTATGACGCGATGCGCGTTGTTTGCTTTTGCTGCAGTGTCCCTGTGTGTGTACTTGCGTTACATACTTACTACTTACTACCTTACTATTAGGTACATCTACATGCTACATATATAGGCATAATTACGTAACCCCCCTCTCTGGTCTGGCTTGCAAATGGGTTGCTTCGATTGCATGCCGACTCTGCTTTCTGATCAGAGGGTTTGGCGGGGTTTGGATGAAAAAAATAAAAAAGGAGCGCCATCAAGATGAAGGGTGATGATGAACAAGGCTCTTCTCGAAATGATGCGTTGGTTAAGTATTAAGTTGGTACCTACCCCCACCCTGGCTTAACTAACTGACCGTGTGTTTGCTTTAACTTGCCGCAAATAGCACAGACAATGTTAAATTTTTATTTTATATCAATAAAATTAGTTGCGGCTGCGCTNAAGGCTCTTTTCGAAATGATGCGTTGGTTAAGTATTAAGTTGGTACCTACCCCCACCCTGGCTTAACTAACTGACCGTGTGTTTGCTTTAACTTGCCGCAAATAGCACAGACAATGTTAAATTTTTATTTTATATCAATAAAATTAGTTGCGGCTGCGCTTTATAATCAATTACATGTCTCTACTACAAGTAGTAATTATTATTTGGATCAGCGCCATCTAGCGTTGCGGATTTCTGAACTAAAAAGTGGCCCTAAAATTCTGAAGGAGAGCTTTCGGCATTTCATTTAAACATCAACCCCCGTTGTTCGTTGTGAATTCACCATTGTGAGGGGTTGAGAGGAGAGGAAATAAGGTCTAAGATACAGAGATGAAATTTTTGAACGAAAATAAGAATAAAGCACCACTTAACTGTTTAATGACAATAAGAGAAGGAGAGAAGAGCGATAAATATTATAAAATGAGGGGGGGGGGGCAACTACCTAAGTAGCGCATGCAGTGCAGAGTGTGTAGAGGGTGTGACTTTTCTTATAGTCCTAAAATTCTGAAGGAGAGCTTTAGGCAGTTTAGCCGTAGAGCTATTTACTCAATTATAAACCAGCCGCAACTAATATCATACATGTAAAATAAAAGTTTACGTTGTCTGCATTGTTAACGGCAAGTTTACAATTTATCTTTTACCCGAAAGTATAAATATATAGTAGGTGGATATTCAGATAAAAGATAAATTGCAAACTTGCCGTTAATAGTACAGGCAATGCCAACTTTTAATTTATGTCTATAAAATTAGTTGCGGCTGGTTTATAATTGCGTAAATGGCTCTAGGGCTAAACTGCCTAAAGCTCTCCTTCAGAATTTCAGAAGCAATTTTTGGCCAAAAAAATTTCAACCGCTAGATGGCGCTGATCCAAATAATCATTTCTACTTATAGTAGAGCCATTTCATCAATTATAAACCAGCCGCAACTAATTTTGTAAATACAAAATAAAAAGTTAACATTGTTTATGCTGTTTGCGGCAAGTTTGCAATGTATCTTTTACACGAATATCGACCACCTATATATTTATACTTTCGGGTAAAAGATACATTGTAAACTTGCCGCAAATAACATAAACAATGTTAACTTTTTATTTTGTATTTACAAAATTAGTTGCGGCTGGTTTATAATTGATAAAATGGCTCTACTGTGAGTAGTAATAATTATTTGGATCAGCGCCATCTAGCGGTCGAAACTTTTTTGGCCAAAAATTGCTTCTGAAATTCTGAAGAAGAGCTTTAGGCAGTTTAGCCCGAGAGCCATTTACTTCATTATAAACCAGCCGCAACCAATATTATATATAGAAAATGAAAAGTTGACATTATTTGTGCTAATTGCGGCAAGTTTACAAATTATCTTTTATCCGAATATCGACTTTCTATATATTTATACTTTCGGGTAAAAGATAAATTGCAAAACTTGCCGCCAACAGTGCAAACAACGTTAACTTTTTGTTTTATATTTATAAAATTAGTTGCGGCTGGTTTATAATTATTCAAGTAGCTCTACTATAAGTAGTTCAGCAGTAATAATCATTTGGATCAGCGCCATCTAGCGGTCGTGATTTTTTTGGCCAAAAATTGCTTCTGAAATTCTGAAAGAGAGCTTTAGGCAGTTTAGCCCTAGAGCCATTTAATCACTTATAAACCAGCCGCAACTTTTGAAGTAGATACAAAATGAATAATAAACGATGTTTGTGCTGTTTGCGGCAAGTTTACAATTTATCTTTTACCCGAAAGTGTAAATATATAGCAGATCGATTTTCGGATAAAAGATAAATTGTAAACTTGCCGCCAACAATGCGTATAACGTAAACTTTTATCTCACATATGTCATGTTAGTTGCGGCTGGTTTATAATTGACTGAATGGCTCTATGGCCTAAACTGCCGAAAGCTCTCCTTCAGAATTTTAGGGCCACTTTTTAGTTCAGAAATCCGCAACGCTAGATGGCGCTGATCCAAATAATAATTACTACTTGTGGTAGAGACATGTAATTGATTATAAACCAGCCGCAACTAATTTTATAGATAGAAGATAAAAAGTTAACATTGCTTGTGCTATTTGCGGCAAGTGTGCAATTTATCTTTTACCTGAAAATCGACCTGCAAATGTATATGCATGTATGAAGTTATATATATATATATATATAAACACACACACGTATTTAACGTAACCTTACCTCTCTCCTCTCTCCGATCTCTCTTTTTTATGCTCTTATTCATTTGCGTTTCTCTTTTACATGCGGCTGCAGTGTGTGAAGTGAACGTTAAAATGGAGGATGTACTGGACGAGATCGTTTCCTCTGAGGATTTGAAAGTGAGTTTTCAAGAAAATTTTATCGTCCCTTATTGTTTTCACAATCTCCTACAGTCTTGTACATTTTTTTACTTTGTCGGGTGTTTTAAAATATTTTCCGTAATAACACATCATTTTGTAAAGCTTCTTCAAAGCTACAGATTGCAGATTTCGTTATTTGTTTTCTTTTTCCTACTACAACTATAGAAAAGAGCTAAATCACTAATGACAATCGCATTTGTCTGTAAATTTATGGTTTTTTTTTTTTTTTTTTAAGCATACATCCAGTTGATTAACTAGAGTATTTTTACATTCTCAAAGATGAGTCTCTGCGCATAATTTCGTCGATGACTCATTCCCAAGAGCTATTGCTATAACAGTTCTGTACTTACACGTCATAGCTGTCAAAAGCTAAAAAATTGCGTCAACTGTATATTGAGCTCGTATTAAATTGATCATTTGTAAAAAATATCATTTAAAGCTGTGTTATTGGGAAAAAGTATGATTTTAATGTATTTTTCAGAAATATGAGTGTATGTACAATGAACAGCTGCACAATGGGTCAGTAGATCAAAAGGCACAGTTTCAATATGCCTGGTGTCTGGTGCGGAGTAAATACCCAGCAGACATCAGGAAAGGTATTATGCTTCTTGAAGATTTGTATGCCAATAATGGCGAAAGTGAAAAAAGGGACTCTCTATACTATCTTGCCATTGGTAATGCGAGGATAAAGGTAATTATTACATTTATTATTTTATTATTATATTTCCTTGCCTTGATTTATTACTTGATCATTAAAAAATTTCATGCTTCCATTATCCTTAAGATTTTTTTATCATCTACTCATTACCAAGAAAATTTTTGCGTTATTAATAGTTATTCAATCAGCTAAATAGAGTTTATTGAAGTGGTTTATTTTCTTTAGGAATATTCACAAGCATTATCTTACGTTCGCTCTTTTCTTCAAATTGAACCTGGGAATACCCAAGTACAGCATTTGGAACAGATTATCAAAAAAAAAATGGATAGAGGTATGTTAAAATAATAGTATCCGGTATTTAAAAGTTTTTAACTGTCGGCTCTTTCAGAGGGACTCAAAGGCATGGCAATAGCTGGAGCTATTGTAGGTGTAGCCGGTATCTTAGGCATTGGGTTTGCAATGGCAAAAAAAGGTTAGATTATTGAAGAAAAAATGTGGGATTTTTTTTCCAACAAAAAAAAAAAAAAACAAAGAAATTCAGAATCATTGTAACTGATGATCGTGGCATTTGATTACAGACAGGAAATAGCTATGCCTAAGTTATATTATTTGTTATCAGTTGAGATGTTGGATCTTTGCTTTGACTTACACCTGTATCTTTTTAATGTCGCTTGTCATCATCGACATTCCACTAAGTATTAGAAAACCAATGTGCTGTGTGTGAAATCCTTTTTTTGTATGCTAATGTGTAAGGAAGGTCAACGTGAAATTATTTTAAACTTCAAAAAATCTCCAAGTGATTTTTGAAGTTGTAAAAAAAAAAATAAATCAACATTTTCTAAATGTACATAAGTTAACTAGTCATCCTCAGCTAGCTTAAAAATGAAAGTCTAGTAAAAGTTGATGAGATCAAGCTAGTAATAATTTTCCAAATATTTATGTACCAGAAAAAGATGTAATTACTTTTTAAGAGTTACATATTATTTATAATAAAACAACTGTTTTCCAAATTTCAAAATGGTTTTATTATTAATTTTATACATATTGAAAGTACTTTAATCGTGTAAAATTGAACACAAATGTATTTCAGCGCATAATTTCGTCGATGACTCATTCCCAAGAGCTATTGCTATAACAGTTCTGTTTAAACATCAACCCCCGTTGTTCGTTGTGAATTCACCATTGTGAGGGGTTGAGAGGAGAGGAAATAAGGTCTAAGATACAGACATGAAATTTTTGAACGAAAATNTATTTCAGTTATATTTTTATACAAAATCATTCAAATATAATATACAGAAAATGGTGTAAAAATTATAAAGTATTCTATTAGACAAAGTGGGCACACACGATTTCGATTGACTTAAAAACGGATAGAAAAAGTCATAAGGTAAACTTATATCTAAATTAGGTCCACCAGCAATATAATACCTTGTAGGCTTGGAAACATCATGAAATGATGCATAATTGACCAAATCCAATTGCAATGTGTCGATGCAGTTTTTACTATTGTACGAAGTACATTTTGTCCATTTTAGATCGACTTCTTGCGAAAATGTCACACCTATACCCAAAATCACGTGGTTATTATTCGTACCTGGTTTGGATATTAATGAATGTACTATGTCAAACGCAACCGAAGTCACCAATCCTGAACACTGGATCTCGTTATTTATTATCTGAGCAGTTATTACGTTTTGAGGAATTTTCTCAAAAAACATTTTGGCCCAGCTGTCGATATTACTATCCGTGGCATTACCCGATTTTGAAATGAATTGTCTATTTAAATTTATCTTGTCAAAATTTTTCATCATCATGAAGTTGACAAGTGTTTCAAACGTACGATTTTGCAGCTTGATGCAAGTTGTTGTCGAAAAATTGCTAGTTTTGACAGTAATGGAACACTTCAATTTAACATTTTCTAAAAATTTCACCGAATATCGCTTAACTTCGTTACACACGCCGTTTCTATCTGCCATTGGCAAAGTTAAGTGAGGATGAGTTGTGTTGAAAACTATATACTTTACGACTGTATCATCCGTTTTATTTTCCATTTGGGTTCCAACAAATATTGGTTTTCCCTCAATATAACCAGGATTTCCGCTTCTTTCGAAAATAAACGAGTTGTTGAGTCCAAACCATTTATACAACACTTGAAAGTCTTGTTTAAAATCAGCAGATACGTTTGCTAGATGTACATGAGCCTCAATATGTTGAATACCGTCACTTCCACTGTGATAAAATGTGTATCTTACTTTTTTTACTACATTATTGCACACATTTTCTCGGCAGAATCCTTTGAAGGTCATGTTCGTTTTACAAAGTTTAAAAGATTCAGAACAGTAAAACACATTAGTAGAGCGACAGACGTTGTTAGGACAATCTTGTGATAAATACTGAGTGTTAAACTTTGAAGGTAGAGCTACGACAGAGAAATTGCCAAAATTAATTGGAAAAAGAAATAGATTGTCATTGTTGAGATTAGTTTGATGACAAGATGTTTGCCAGTCTTCAAGATATTTCACAGTCTTTTTAAAATTGCATCCTCTTCCGAAACCAGCTTGTGGGAGCTCTAATAAAGAATATAAAAATTAATTAAGTGTACCGACACGTAATTTTAGTTATAAACATTTTATTATAAGGCTGAGAAAAAAATTTTTTACCGAACGGTAGCAAAGAGCTTTTGTCAATCTTCCATATCGTATCTCCATGTCTGAACACATTTGAAAAATTGAATTCTTGATTGACAATTTTTTTAGTCTCAAGTTTCCATTTAAATTCAGATGGTCTATTATTAGTTATAACATTTCTTAAACTTTTTTCATCGTCAATTTTCTATGAATGACATTTAAATGTAGATTTAATACATCAGTTTTAGTTTTAAGATAATTAATAAAAATTTAAAAAAAACTTACCAAATGGCTGGTCAAGCTGTACATTGGCGGAAGATTATCAGATGCTATACAAAATAAACTATCGATAACTTTTTCCAAGATAAATCTCGTTTCGTTATGCCTGAAAAAAGGTTTCTGATGGCAGGACCACATATCTTTTTCCTTATTAATATCACGATCAACACAGTGAGAAAAAGTTTTAAGATGAAAATCTTTACAATCTAAGTCACAACAACAGTTTATGTCACAAACATCAATCTAGAAAAAAAAAAGAAAACCAATATTAAAGGCCAATTGCTTATTCCCGATTAGTAGTATTCGAAACTTACAGTTAAATCACAATTGCAAAATTTTTCTTTTGACCTCTCTTCCAGTGCTTTTTGAAGTTTCGGTGAATCGTTATTATTACTTGGTTCCGCATTCTTTTTATTTACAGGGCTACTATCGGTGGTTACAGAAACCGGCTTTTGCGTGGTAGTTTTTGTACTTCCAGGAAAATTAAAAATACCTTTGGTTAATTCTTCAATATTTACATCGTCCAAGTCATCTTCGTCGCCATTCCCGTTATTATTTCCATTTTTCATAGGATTAGCTGAAACCGTAGCATTCGCGCAAATGGTACCGTTCGAGCAAGAATCGTCATTCGTATCTCCTGCCTCGTCCCCAAATATCGCTATTACGAATGACAACGAGTACAAAATTAAAACTAGTTTTCGGATTGCAGCCATGGCGAGAAGGGGGTTTGCAAAAAGATCGTTGAATTGCCTATCTGTTTGGTCATAAGTGGCAGCCAAACTTGTCGAAATTCCTAACGAGCACGTAAAGATCTATTTTAACGGTGCCCATGCTTTCGGTGAGCAATTCGAATCTGTCATCTCCATTGACCAAAACGTCCGGTGATTTCAACTGCAGAGTCGTGCCTAAAAATTTATCCTTCAGCCTGTCCTGCCAATCGCCTGAAAAACCATACGTAAAGAAAAAAAAAGAAAAAAAAGAGAGCTCAAATTGAAACGGATATAAGTATGTGGGTATATTGTTCATACCAATGGGTTTCCAAGTGTGGCACTCGAGGGAATGAAAGCCGGGCTTTAGAGGTACAGTACAGACACCGTAGGCGACAAACAGGATCCTGTTGTAACTGTCCCGGCAAAAAACTTGCAGCAAAATCTTAGGCGAGCCCTGAAGCGTCTGCGTGGCAAAGTGCACGTCGATCGGATGATCCCAGACCGGCTCGTTGGCGTACGCGTCGAAGCACTCCTGCGTCTGTCCCTCGGCACTGCCGTTAATTATCTTCCATCCGCTATCTGCAACACAAACGTCACCGAAAAGCAGCTTTTAAATTGAAAAGTGGAAAAAAAAAAAAAGAAAGAAAAGGGCCCCATGTCTTGCCTGTGGAGCAGCTCCATTTGCAGAATAAACGAGGCTGGGGAAAGTTTCTCGACGACGCGATCGTGCCTATCAGGTGCAATTCGGCCATCGTAGTGTGATCGATGCCGAGGTCGAATTGTTTGTCATTTTCAGCGGCCGATCGTCGTCTTGGCGACGGGCCGCGCTTGCAAGCGCTTCATGCGTTTTTTTAAATTTAAAATTTCTTTTTTACTTGCGCGCGCATGTCGTCGGCGGGATTTCAAAGAGAACATGCAGGTATTTAATATATTTCGCTCTTATCATGCGAGTGTGCTCGTAATGGTCAAACTAAACTGATGATTCGCATGTACTTAGATGAATAATGTAGTTACGAAGTAAACTTTTAATATAAAAGTCGGGTTCGCTGCTTCAACGACTCTCTGTCTCTTTGGCACGAACCTGCAAACTCTGTTGATTCGCTTATGACGGTCGGAACGCGACAGAACAACTCGCACACGTGGTTTTGTACGATCCAGCGGACCACATGTATACACGAACAAACCTACAGTTGTGAAAAAAAACGCGGGCGTTTGTTTTGATTATTGATCATCAAAGATTGTTTTTCCACAGTGTCGAGTGTTGTTTTTCAACGGCTACAATTGACAGGAGGATTCGGGCCAGTCGAAGGATACCGTCGTTGCTGTTTGTTTTAAATGACAATGTGCATTAGTGGTTGAAATTCAAAATGAGCGAGACACATACTCCTGGAAAAATTCGGAAACTCGACCAGGTGGTCGTCAATCGCATTGCCGCTGGCGAGATTATCCAGAGGCCGGCTAATGCTCTGAAAGAGCTGATTGAAAACAGTCTTGATGCGAATTCAACAAATATTATTATTTCCATAAAGGATGGAGGATTAAAATTCTTGCAGGTGTTTACTTTCATCAAACAGTTCGTTTATCTCCGTTTGCTTATCTTCATTTAATTTCATTTTCTTGATTATGTTTTCTCGTTCAAGATCCAAGATAATGGAACTGGTATAAACAAGGAGGACTTGGATATTGTCTGTGAACGTTTTACTACAAGTAAATTGCAAGATTTCAATGATCTTAAATCCATTGCCACCTATGGCTTTAGAGGTGAAGCCCTGGCTAGTATCAGTCACATTGCCCAGCTTACTATAACAACAAAGACAGATAAAGAAAAGTGTGCTTACAAGTAAATAATCGAGCAAACTATTTTTTTTTGTATTTAAATGAATGTTATTTTATCGGAAAATGTGTTTTCAGAGCGTCGTATGTGGATGGCAAATTAAAAGCACCACCTGTTCCTTGTGCCGGCAACCGAGGAACAACAATAACGGTAGAAAATTTATTTTACAACGTTGCTACGCGTAGAAAAGCCCTCAATAACGTACATGAAGAGCACACAAGAATAAAAGACGTTGTAATAAAATATGCTGTTCATAACGCGCATGTGGGTTTTACTTTCAAAAGACATGGTCACTCAACGGTTTATGTTAAAACTCCCTCTGCATCTACGAAAGTTAACAACATAAAATCTTTGTATCCTGCTGAAGTTGCTCTAAATCTGTTTGAGGTTGAATTGGAAGATACTATGTATAAATTTAAATTACATGCCATCTTTACCAGCGCTAGTTATGCAGACAAAAAAATGACTATGCTGCTGTTTATCAACAATCGTTTGGTTGAATCTTCGAGTGAGTTATCAATTTTTAAAATTATTCTTAATACATCGTGACAAGTTAAAAACATTTTTTTGTACTTTCAGTAATGAAAAAAGTCATCGAAGATATGTACACTGTATATTTACCTCTAAAAAAACATCCGTGGTGTTACATTTCATTACACATAGATCCGCAAAACATTGACGTTAATATACACCCAACAAAACATGAAGTACGGTTTCTCCACGAAGATGCGATTATTGGAAAAGTCAGAGATGCTATAAGCGAGAAACTCCTTGATAATAATCACTATCGAATTTTTACCCTGAATAATGCACCTCCAAAATTAGAGTTACCTAAGGAATTAATGGAACAAGTTTTGTCAGACGATTTTGAAGATAACCAGGACAAACCCAAGAAAGTTCATGCTAAAGATTTTGTACGTACGGATGCTGCTGACCAAAAATTAGATAAATTTAATTTTACGATCAACAGTGCCGAAATAACTCAAATGGCTACAGATAAAAATAATGAAGTAAATGATTATGAAGTTGCTTCATCAGATTGTCAGGCTCCAGATGTATCAATACAAATTACCAATGCTAATGAAGAAATAAACGATAAGGACGGAACAGAAGTTACTAAGGATTCAGAGAAAGGAGAGTTGGAAAAAAATCTTGATACTCTAACTGTAGAAAACGACGAAGAAGCTGATAAGATGGATAAAAACGATCCACATTCACCTGAAATCAGACCACCTGTTCACTTTAGATCATATTCTGTGAATGAAATTCAAGTTGAGACAAAATTATTGAGTGTACTAACTTTGAGAAAAGAAGTAGAAGAATCATATCATCAAGGTTTACGTGTCGTACTTTCAAATTTAATTTTTGTTGGATGCATTGATGAACACTCAGCATTGATTCAAAGTGGACCTCAATTATACTCGTGTCAAACAGAAAAACTTGCGTAAGTTGTTGTAATATCGTTACCTCAAGTCTCACATGATTACAATTCTGGATCAAATTTTTATTCTGTTACAGAGAAGATCTATTTTATCAAATCATGCTCTATGATTTTGCAAATTACGGTGTCATAAAATTTACTGTAAGTAAATTGATACAAAAAAAAAAAAAAGTAAAATTTATTTTTCTTTGCAATGTACTTTTCATAGGAGCCAATTCTTATTAAAGACTTGGCTAAACTTGGTCTCGAATGTGAAGAATCAGGCTGGACTGAAGAAGCAGGGGACAAAAATGAACTAGCTGAACGAGTGCAAGAACTATTGTTGGAGAAGGCAGATATGTTGCGGCAGTATTTTTCAATATATATTGATAAAAAAGGACGTCTGAAGACTTTACCCTACTTGATAGGTATACGAAATCTTTATTTATTACTAAAAAATTTATATTTTTTTTAAATTGCCACTTACATTTTATTACAATTTTCAGAAAATTATTTTCCAAGTCAAGCCGCAATTCCTTTCTATATTTTAAGATTGTCAACGGAAGTTAATTGGAACAAAGAAAAGCCTTGCTTTCGTGATATATGTCGAGAAACTGCGAGATTATACAGCCAAATCGATACTACCAATGATTCATGGAAACACGTTACTGAATTCATTTTGTATAGTGCAATCAAGGAGAGTCTTTTGCCACCTAAGACTTATTTTGAAGATTTGACCATGACAACTTTGGCTAATTTACCAGACTTGTACAAAATCTTTGAACGCTGCTGAGCTAGATGATCCTTTATTACGTGATATTAAAATTGTACATTTATTGATATGTTTTGAGTAGAGGTGTTTGTATAAATAAATCTAACATTTGAAAAAAAAACAACCGATTTATTCATTTTGCGACACCATTTAACCAGTACTTATTGGTTCCGTATTTTACAACAAATAGAGTCTGACTTAATGTACATAATTAAATATATTTTTAATGCCTGTGAACTCACAGATTATCGTTGCAGTAAGGTAATGTTTAGTTACATTAAAAATTTCTTTTAATTAAATTTTAACGTGTATTCTGGTGATCTAGAATACTAACTTTAACCTTTAGCAACACCAACAAGTGCTGGTCTAACTATTCTCTCGTGCAGCTTGTAACCAATTTTCGAGACAACTACGACTGTTCCTGGTACTTTGCCTTCAACTTCCTGCAAATGTAAATAGAAACTAATAATTTGAAGCAAAAAGTAAAATAACTTGTATTCTGTATTCTGCATTACCTGCTGGAAGAGAGCTTCATGCTGATTGGGGTCAAATCTTTCATTGAGAGGATTCACAGAGATTAAACCATGCTTTTTGAATACTTTGTGAAGTTGTGCTTCAGTCATAGTCAAGCCTTCATAGAGGCTTTTTAGGTGAGGATTTCTTTCCGTGATTTCATCCTTTGGAACACTTTCTGTGGCTTTACCAAGGATATCGGCAACGTCCAGTAGATCCTTGCAAAATCCTTGAATCCCAAAGATTTTTGCATCTTCTATCTGTTTTGTTAATCTCACTCTCAAGTTTTCACTATCAGCCAATGCTCTTTTGTATTTATCATTGAGTTCCGCATTTTTTTCTTTTAATTCTGTCACTTCTTTTGTCAACGATTCGACTTCTGACTTCAACTTCTTCTCATTTTCAGATAAGTTTTGTTCACTGTTTGCTTGATTGCTTTCGTTTTTTTGTTCTGCTGCTGTGCTTAAGTTATGTTTTAGTACAGCATAAGAAGAACACCTTGTTGGCCTAAAAAAAAAAATTGTTTTTCGAAAAGAAATATTGTCAATAAATGTTGTAATCTGTTGCTATAAGAATATTAGCAGACGAAATTCAATGGATGAAAAAGTAGAGAATACAACATCAAAATTGCATCAGATCTCACTCATATAATTTTTTGCCTATACTAATGGCTATAGGTAGGTATCGTGATTAGAAAAATTAGGAAATGAAAAATTATAAAAAAAAAATTATTCACACCAAATCCACAACTGGACGATCTCTGTTAGATAACACTTAACCTTAAAACTTGATCGATCAAGATGCAATGTAGTGCAATCGGTTAATACTGTTTGCAATGACAAATATTGTTATTTGTAAAATTACTTTACCTCAAGATGTTTTTGTTGGTTTGAAAAATCCCTTCCATCGCAATACGGGCGAATTTAACAGTAACCGGCACTGTAAACGATGTCATAACGTCTGCTGAAGTCACGAGTGTCACAAATCACAAAAGTTACAAAAATGAGATGATAAAGTGATGTGCACACATATACTACAGTATTTCGATTCAAAAAAGAAAATTCATAACAAAAAGATCTTTTATAGCAGATTCAGATTCATGATATGAAATAGAAATGTGGTGAAACACGATTAACGCGACACGCGAGCAACACGCTATAAACTCCCGTCTCTCCCCGGGAGAGAGTCACCCGTCGTATTATCAGTTCCGTGTTAGGGCTTACTTTTTAATTCGAAATCAGACACGCGAGATGGCGCTGATTGTAAATTTGAATGGCGCTATCTATAGAAACGATAACTAAATAAATATAGTGTTGTTTTGTTTCGAAAAAAAGATAAGAGCATAAAATTCGGGGAGCCAACCGCGCGACAACTCATTGAAAAATTTTGTACATGCTCGGCTGACATCAAAAGTTATCGTGTAAACTTAACGATTTGCGATAGCAAATAATAGCAAGCTTCGTTCCATTTCAGTGGTTTTTTAGAAGTTTTTTGAAGAGAACAAACGCCTTCAGTATGTCGAAAATATCATTGGAGAGTGCCAAAAAAGTCGCAGCTCACCGAGCTGTTGACGAATATGTCAAGGTATGCAATTTACAATACTATTAGGTTTATTTTATTTGCCGCGAATCGATTGTTGATTTTAGTTGGATTTTTCCGCTTCATTTCAGGACAACAACGTGATAGGAATAGGTAGCGGCTCTACGATTGTTTATGCCGTCCAAAGGTTAGGTGAGCTTTCGAATTTTATAAACATTTTACGATGACAGTTTCAAGTGTTAAGTACTGTACTATCCGCTATAAACATATGCTGCGTTTTATGAACTTTTTTTTATCTGATTCTTCCTCATAACATACATGGACTCTGAAATTCAATTCTGAAATTAATGGTGTAATATTTGAAAATGAGTATTGTATGTTGTTTACTCATATTAGTCATTACTTATTACAATCATACGATTTCTCATTACCGATTAAATAATCTGTAATATGGTGAGGTTGGTCATTGTAAAATATATTGTGACTTATTACTGTAAAGCAATAATTTAGTACAATCTAATATTCATCTACATAATTTACCTTACTTAACAATAATCATATGAACATTATACCTGTAATCCAAGTTCTCACAGTGAGATATGTACATTAAGGTATATGTCAAATTCTTTAGCTGAGCGTGTTAAAGAAGAGAATCTCAATGTTGTCTGTGTACCAACATCATTTCAAGCTCGTCAACTAATAATTAACAATCATTTAACATTGGGGGATCTTGAAACTCATCCCAAGGTGAATTAAATAATCTTTAGTTGAACAGAATTTTTGGCGTCCCACAATAAATTATTTTTCTATTCAAATTCAAAAATCTTTTGTCCTACTGACTTGCAGTTAGACTGTACCATTGATGGTGCTGATGAAGTTGACTGTGATCTCAATCTTATTAAAGGGGGTGGAGGTTGCTTGCTGCAAGAAAAAATAATAGCCTCTTGCACCAAAACTTTCATTGTTATTGCAGATTATACGTAAGTTAATTTTAAGTAAAAATTAAAAGTGAAGATTTTAAAAATAGTCATGTTGTTCAGAAAAAATTCACAAAGGCTTGGTGAACAGTACAAAAAAGGTCTTCCCATTGAAGTTGTTCCTATGGCTTATGTTCCTATTATGAGGAAAATTGAAGATGAGTTTGGTGGTGAAGTTGAATTAAGGATGGCAAAGGCTAAAGCTGTAAGTTTCAAATCAAAATATCGTCACTAAAAATAAACCGTATTTAAACACTCCTATAACATTATAGGGTCCAGTAGTGACAGACAATGGAAATTTCATTCTTGATTGGCATTTTCCTGATAAAGAAACTGATTGGCCATCAATCAATCAAAGACTGTTGTTGATTCCTGGTCTACTAGAAACAGGCCTTTTTGTGAAAATGGCACAAAAAGTGTTTTTTGGTATGCCTGATGGAAGTGTTAAAGAACAAGTGTGATATGCATATCAAGTAAAGTGAAAAAAAAAATGTTTTGAGGAAAAAATTAAAAGGGAAATCGAAAATATTTTTGTATTTGTGCCTATTTACATTAACAACTAGATGGACTTGGGTCATATTCTATTATGTTAATAGTTTCCATTAATTTCTAAGTATATAAATGTTATAAGATGTGTATTTACATTTGAACAAAATATATATAAAAGTTTTTAACTCAGCCTTGTAGTACTTTCAACATTTCATCCGAAAAAAACCTTTAAAAACACACCAGTAGAGTATTGCAAACATATTAATATTGCAAAATAACAGAAATAGCAAAAGATGCGCCCGAATAGGGACTCGAACCCTAGACCCTCAGATTAAAAGTCTGATGCTCTACCGACTGAGCTATTCGGGCAGCTGATTTGCTCCAACATTACATCACAATGTAGTTACAGGCGTTCAGCTAAAGTGTCAAGTGAGGAAATTTCTTCATATTTTAGAGATAAGATAAGAAATATTCAAATACCTTTGCTGACCGACTGTTGTTTAAATAGAAATCACTGATGTCTTCTTAATGACTTGTACGATGGATACAATGACCAAGTATTATGCATGAAATGAAACAGTAAATTACTAGTGGTGTAAACGACCAATGGTTGGATGATCAATAAGTATAAAAAATAACATCAAAATAGCTCAAAATCTGTTGCATACACAAATGCATGGATTGTATGTGTAGTTGAAAATAAGCACGCAGCACGCAGCAGGGTATAGGGCTCTGATGTGTTGTGTTTCCACCTTTACACATACATACAATATGAAATGGTACATGACTCTTTATTTCGCTTTTATTTACCCCCATACATGTGAGTATTCGTTCCTTTGCTCAGCGCTAAGTAGCAAAGACAAACAGGAGATTTCGTAGTTGCACGAAATTGACGAAATAATTTTTTTTTTTTTTTTTTTTTTCCATAACATTTGAACTAGATCCGAACTTTGAAAAAGTTGTTTGTATCAATTCAATTCATGTCGCTGACCTCCTTTGACGACCTTAAAGTACACTCACAAATACAATGTTTGACGATCCAGAGTGTCCACTGTTGTTTCAAGTGGAAAACTATTAATTGGTCGCGGCACACCCTACATTTTTTTTTTTTTTTTTCGTCTCTTGCATATACGTTTCTAACAACTTATGCTGGAAGAACTGGTCATTAATTTTTAAATTTTATCATTTACAGTCTTTGAGCTACAAAACAAATTATTAAGGGGACAAAAACTAAGAAAAACATCACTTTTGCGAGTATTTGGAAGTATATACTTGTACCCGAACCAGTTTATATAATTCATACGCTTTTTGAAATTAAATGGTCACGGTAAAATTTTGCGGAAAAGGTACACTTAGCTATTAAAAATTTTCTTCCAACACAGTTTAAACAGAGAGAGACTGTCTACAATGTGTTTATCAAATATGTTGAGTAATTTTCGAGGTACCCCCCTGATCCCCTCATAAATTATTTAATGCAAAAACTGTACACGTAATAATACAAGGAGTATCTCGTTCAGCTTTTTGCTCTTGATATAATATACGCATGGCAATCATCATTATACTTGGGCGCTGATGACATGGATGCAGGCGTGCACTTAATTATTTACTGCACGTAATATCCCATCATTGGATGCAAATTGAAGGAAATAAGCCGTAGGTATATACTTATGTGAAATGCACTTGTTATCCGTGCGTTATATCCTAAAGCGTATTTTGTGAGAGTAAAATTGTTTTTACCTCATGCACCCCTTTCATTTGACAATTATTATGTTTAAGAAGAAAAACTACATAAGCGGAGCGTAAGGGTGGTAGGGGGGGGGCACCTATTGTCATCTTTGTTATCTCATAGGCTCGTACTCATTACGATTTGAGTACCAGTGAGGTGATAAATTTATTGGTATGGTTCACTCGATTTTATGTCAAATACGTGGATATAATCAACAGGAATTTTTTTTAAACTTTTATCGAGTGATTTTTTGACCTTCCAAGGCATCTGTACAGCTGTAAAACGATGATTTTTTCGTACTTATATTTTTAATAAATAAAAAAAAAAAAAAAAATGTACTACAAAGAAAACCAGTAGCAAAACAGGTGGTGCAATCTGGAACAGATAAGTATCTCGAAAAATATTGCTCATCGACCATCATCAAAAGACATAAATCAAAATGCGAACAAATAATATGTCGGCCCATTCTTAATACGTGTAAAAAAAAAGCAAGATTGATTACAAAAATGTTTTTACATTCACAAGTTATTAGCAAATGACCAAAGACTAGAAGAAGAGAAAAGAAAAGAAAAAATAGAATTATTGATAATTTCCAGCAAATTTTTTAAGATCATGAGTTTGGGTTAGAAGTTTTTCTTAACATGGTATGTTTCATTCGACGCTCAATTGACTAGAGAGTAAAGTGTGTGCCTCGTTAAATAAAGTGAAAACCCGATGAGACAATTAGAAACGTTAATTAATAATAAAAATAACCGATGTCTTTACTAACATCAAATACATTCTTCCACAGTGTACTTTTATTTTGAGCGCACGCTGCTGCAGGAAAAGTTTTAGTTTTTATGCTCCTCCCCCCTTTTTTTCGTCTCTTTAAATACATTTAATGCTTTCTGTTAATGAATATATACATAAAGAGTCAATTAATGTGACTCTCGACGTTTTTACTTTCTTGGATTCAGTAGCTAATCAAATTAAGCTGCAAAGTTTTTTAATTTATTTGTTTATTTATTTTTTATTTTGGTCGTTGGATCGATGAACTTGAGAATTTTGTTTTGTACGCAATAATTATATTTTTTTACTAAAAGTACTACTATTATATACCTACGTCGTTGTATGTAATGGAGCACGATTTTCTACAACAATTCTTACCTATGGAATAGCCATACGTTGAAGTTAGGAAGAATTGTATGTGCAAACAAAAATACTAAAATAACAATGAATAACCCGAAGCGTTCGTTTTTTTTTTTTCGCCTTGCCACAAGGTAAATACAGTTTTTGTTTGAGCACACTTTTTCCATCGATTGCATTATGTGTATCATGATTTATTAACGTTCCCTCAAACGCTGACAGAGCAAAGGGAAAGTTTACGTGTTATTGAATTTTACCATTTGTATTGAATTGTGTTTCTTTTTTTTTCGTCAAAATTGAACTAGAGTTTTGCCATTTATCAGAATGGCCAACCGATCTCGAGATATACATGTATCATAACGAGGGAGATTTTTCGCAAGAATCATAAATACTTATCTTGAATTTTTTCACAAGGAGAAAGAAAAAAGATAATGCACGGTATTGTTAAATTTGGCGGTACTTAAAAAAGTGTTTCTCGTATTCTAAATGATATATTTGACGAAACGAGATGATGCAACAAATAATCTGATTGTCCAACACCTGAGCAAAACGATTAGCGCGGTATAAATAATGTTGCACTGAACACTTAATCGTCACAGTACGCGTACGGGTAAGTAAAAAACAAATGTGTTATTAACTAATCTTTATTTCTCGAACAAACTGTTTTTGTATCAAAATTTTTTCCAAAATAAATAATGGTCCGATTTCTCGCGGAAAGCTCCCTGCAAAGAGCTCACGACTATTACCTTTTTTTGTTTGTTTGTTTCTTTCAGTGACAACTCTATACACTTGTCTTTATGAGATGGATTTCGTAATCGACATTACAAGTATGAAAAAGTGTCGTCCCTGCGGGCTGACGTGCCAATAAACGTTGCAGCATACAAGGTATCCATTCGCGAAATAACAATCGCACTCTCTGGAAAGGGCATCCCTATAATTATATCGTGCAACGGAGTCACGTATTGCGTATACGTATATACACAAGCACGTGTATACGTATTCCCATAGACGTTGCGCGCACAAAGTTGGCGGCGAACAACGCACCCCCTGCCGCGTAAATACATATATATTTTATGTACTCAGGAGAAGTGGGAGGAGGAGGGTTTGTTCGAAGGCACCCTCGGCCCGCGTCGATTTCAATTTCAACTCTCACCGGACATTCGCACCGGACGTTGCGTCGAGTGATCGTTGGGACCGCGTTTCCTTGCAACGATACCCGATCCCGTTGACTGAACCGTTAATCGTTGGCGCCCTCCAATCAACAGCCCATCATTCTTCGGTATCGTCATGAAGGTCAGTTTTTGGATATTTTTTTGTTTTTTTTTTTTCTTTTTCGGTGGCAAACAATGCGTGAATTTATTTTCCATACGTGTAGTTGATTGTTTCGTGCCTCGTACGTTTTTCAAACAATCAAAGGGTCAAGCCCAGAATGGATTAGCTAAATGCGCATCGATGGTCAAACAAAACTCGCGCGCTTATGATAAAACAATCATTTCAAGTTGAAGCCCTAACTATATTGTTTTCCAATGTCGCAAAATTACAATTACCGTCCAAACTCACTTGGATATGTTTTTTTTTTAAATTTATTTATTCATCAATAGGTAAATAAAACTTTTGTCTTCGGCGTAACTTTAGTTAGCAAACGCGTCGTCCCGGTGGGAAATTTAGGTCATTAGTGAGATGGATACACGAGGAAAACTTGATAATGGCTTCAATTTGCCCCTTTGGAGTAAAAATATTTGCCGTTGAGCGCGCTTTTGCTCGTAAAATAATGGAATCAATTTAGATTGAAAACTTATTTATCGCGTGCTTCGCGTTGCCTTTTAAATTTCGGCATACGAATTAAAGTACGCAATTAATCTTGAAAAAATTCTTACTCATGTATGTACCGTACAAAAAATAAAGGCCATACTTTCCAAACTACTCGTGCACTTGCAATTTATCGTTGTTTTTAAGAAAATGCAATTTAGACACGATAAAAGCTTTGTCCATAAAGTAACTCGTGTACTCCGTCCTCCAGCTTTGAAAAAAATGACACACACTTTCGAAGCATCTCATAAAGATGTTGGGTCAACTATTTTTAATTTTATATAAACGCTGGTTGTGTTCGACACATTATCTTACAAAGCAAACAGATAAAATTTTCAAATAGGATTGATCAAGCTTTGCTTCAGCTCCGCGAACCCGGAAAATATTGTTCGTTAACGTTTTCATACGAGATTTTATTATTAGCATATTCGGGAAAAACCAATCTCTGTATCCCATACTACTTTTCATAGTGCTCGTAAAAAAACGCCCGTTCGCCGCATCCCGATAGTCGGACGATCTTTAAACATTTTTATTAACACTCGGATATTTCGGGATAAAACTCCCACGTATGGATTGGATTTACCGGAGGAAAAACCAAATTATTTTTGAATGAGCTCCCCCCCACTCCACCCCGCTTCCCTCAGCTCCCCCTAAGCTCCCCCCACCTCCCCCCCCCAATAGAATACTTATTTATCTAATGTTTTACCATCATAAATGTTAAAAAATATACGCAATTTAGTACTTAGGTCATACCTCGTTTTCAGGGTTTTTTAAGTCACTGATCATACGTCTCCCTCTATCTACTCGCTTCCCCTTACTCACTATGTGTCTCTGAAGTACCATTATTTGTTTAACTTGATTGAACTTTTACATTTCAAATCTCTTTCTGGTCCATGTCTCCTTTACCCAAATATAAAATTCTTGATTACCTGAGGACTTTATTAAGTAAAAGACAGAATTCAGGAGGAGGTATTATTAAATAGACAAACACAATTNGCACCGGCCGGCGGCTACAACGGCTTCAACGACATCAACAACGACTACCTTCAGCGGACGATTCCGGCCTATAGGGTGCTTTTGCGCATCGCAGCCGCCGCCAGAAACAACAAGAACAATGCTCCGCTGCCCACCGACATACGGCAAATGATGAGACCACTTTAAACATTTTTATTAACACTCGGATATTTCGGGATAAAACTCCCACGTATGGATTGGATTTACCGGAGGAAAAACCAAATTATTTTTTTCTGAAAAAAAATCCCGGAAAATTTGATAAAAAATACCCTCGTGAAAAAAAAAGGAAAAAAAAATAAATACATGCGTGACTCGAAAGAAATGAACGCTTTTTAAAGACCGATACTGTTTGATGGATTCACTTTACGGTGTACTTGTACGCTCGTTCGCTCCAAAATTTACAGGCTCCGATGACGCGGCTATTTATAATCCGTGCCCACGCTAATCCAACGTTATCTTGTGCACACGTCGAGTCTTAAACTTGCGCAAACTTCGTAACAGCCAATAACAATTTTTTTTTTTTTTTTTTTTTCCTGATAACGACGTGCGCGCGTAACAAAGTTTACCCCTACGATCAAGCCTCCATTTAATGATTAGTACGGAATAATCGATACCTGCATTAATCATTTTCTGGAAAAAAAAAAAAAAAAAAATTGCCGAAACGTAACATAATGATCTCGCTCTCTTTTCCTTCCAATTAATTAATTTTTAGTTCTAAAGACTGACGTTTGTTTAAATCATGCACCCACGTAACGTAAACTCAACAGGTTTGCCTTTGATTCATCTTGAAACCGACTCGGTTGAAAAATAAAAATCATCGAAACAATGGGAACGCCGACGGTACCTCATTATTCGCACAACCCCCTTCAACGTGTCCATTGTTGTGAAAGTCGGGCTGTACAGGTAAACACATATTATACCTGTATACCTGCAAGTGGGAGATTACAATTTTTATCGCGCCAAAGGGTCTGGTCATTCGGAGGAAAACTTTCCAAAGCGATGCGCCAAAGTTTCAAGACCATCTTTACACGTGCTCACTCGGAGAGATCCGAGACAAGACACATATGCGTCCGGTTGATCGTGCCCAAGATTATTGTACCATCCCGTAATTCACACAAAACAGCGGGAAAGTTTCTGACAAAAGTTTTTGGATTATCGAGATGAGCTGGAACATTTTTCTCGCTCCGTCCATTCGTTTTCATTGTCATTGCCGTACACCTCCAGTCTATCCTCTAGAGACAATCGAAAAAGATCTTTTTTTTTTTTTTTTTTTTTTTTTTTTTTTTTTTTTTTTTTTTTTTTTTTTTTTTTT